TTCATTCTGAAAAATTTTATTATAAGTCACCTTCACGCAGAATTTTGGAAGAATATTGTTTTTTTTTTATTTTAGAAAACAATCTTTTAGTTCATTGCTAAAATCATGGCAGAGTTTGAACATCTCTTTCTTTACATATAAATACAGTATTATCTTCATTCGCGCAAAAATATGAGATCGTAAATATTTTTCGATTATTTCTTTTAAAAATTCTTTTTAGATCTAAAAATTTTATGCTTTCCTACACTTCGGGAGAGGTCAAGGTCCACTTGGCCCCCCCCCCCCCATGTAATCCCCTTGAGAAGGGGGATAATGAAGATTGATGATTTCACGAAAGCAGGAATCGCGGAAAAGGAAGACACCAAATCATACTACCATTCCTGGTGCGCAATTAGGTGATGCTTCCCTGTTACAGGACGATAACGCAAGACCACACATCGTAGATGATTATCTTCAACAGGAAACAATTATGCGTATGGAGTGGCCAGCTCGATCCTCGGACTTGAATCCTATCGAGCACGTTTGGGATGCTTTAGACAGACATCTACCTGCTCTCAATTCGCCCCCTCAGACCCTTGCCACTGCTTTGCAAGAGCAGTAGCTCTCGCTTCCTATGGAACTAACTGATAGACCGCATAATTGAAAGCATGACGCATCGCTGTATTTCTTCTAGAGGCGACCATATTCCATATTGAAGGTACTTTTCCTATAGCAACTGACACCTTCGATTTGTTCATTTTATACATGTGCTAATTTCTATACTACCATAATTGTCTGGTAATTTATTTTTATGTTATTTGATACCTTACTATGTGTTGTATATTGTGGGTAAGTTTCATAAAATTCTACACGTAACTTTTTCAGTAATCGTGATTTTTCCTTAATTTATGATAACCAGTGTAGTATAGATGTATAGTAATAGATATATTACTATTAGATATTAATTTTTGAAATATAAGCTATTAATTTACGCCACTGATGGGCCATCCCCTTTTAAAAAAGGCGTTAAGTTTGTTTATTGCAAAACGACGAAATAATTACTATCACGAACCACCAGCATAGAACAAAACTCTCTCCAAAAAATCTAAGAAGCAAAAGAAAAATGTGTGGGATACCAATATTTATAGCTAGTGATATCGCAATATTTGGAAGATATTTTTATCCCTAACATTACGTAATTTAATTGCCTGTAATCCGATATTTGTAAACATTGTACGATAAAAAACGCAAACTCTAATCCTTTTTTTATCGAGGTTTATTTCTATATCATTGTTCAAGTTCTTTTGTAATTATTGTTTCTTAATGCGATTTATTATTAGAATTTCTTCATTTATAATTTTATCTATTCTTTTATTATTTACAGTGTGTTTCCCTTTTGCTAAACTGCCGGATACTGTAAGTTCATCTTTAATATTTTTTTGTTAATTATAATAAGAATTATTTCCAATTCCTGTATCATCGGATTAACGGTGATTTTTGAGTAAACGTGAACAAGAGTTGATATTTTAAAATTCTCCTTGATTAATAATGCACGGATTCTGCGCTTTTCTATAAAATACACTCCAACACAACATCGTTCTTTAACTATAGGGCTGTGATTAGTTATATTTAACGGGTTTCGTCCGTCTTTTATGTTTTCTAATGCCGGTGTTGTTAGTAAGAGCCAGAAACTTCCAGAAGAAATGGTATCAGCTTTGGAAAGAGTACACTTTCCGTTCGAAGGAAGACACCATAACAATGCTGAAGATGACTGCTTTGATAACTTTCAACAACAGAAAGGCTGCATTGAAGACGTCACAACTTACTTAAATTCTGAAAATTTTATTTGCGCAGTTTATTCATAGTATAATACAGGATTGAAATTCTGTTAGCATTAACTCGAAACTTAATATCCTTACAAAATATTAAAATTCTCGTTAGTTCTCAGCTTTTTAATTCAGCATTGAAATTCCTCCGCTCCTTAGATGCCCTTTGCATTTCGTTGTGCTTAACGTTCTTAGTAGTTTGAAATTGTAAGTACAGATTGTGCTCTGCGATATTGATAAAAGCTGTACGATATTTTTTGTGGAAAATTTGAGAACTGAGAAGTATTCTCTTCGGGAAAATAAATTCTATGAAGGCACATTTTTCGATTTGAATTAATTTATTTGACTTTACTTAAAAATGTTTGTAAAAGTTTACAATTGGGCGCTCCTTCTTTTTTCGGCGATTCTTTTTTTGACGCCAAGAAGGCACAATTTCAAGATGACCGCTACACAAAACCAAAATAAAAGGTCAAAGAATTGCACAAACTTGGTGTCCATGTACACATCGATTCTATTTTCACTTAAAAAACATCAGAGAATCGCATAAACTCGGTATTGCGCACTGCCTTGACTTTGTTCATGTGCACATCGATCTATTTTTACTTAAAAAAACATCAGAGAATCGCATAAACTCGGTATTGCGCACTGCCTTGACTTTGTTCATGTGCACATCGATCTATTTTTACTTTAAAAAACATCAGAGAATCGCATAAACTCGGTATTGCGCACTGCCTTGACTTTGTTCATGTGCACATCGATCTATTTTTACTTAAAAAAACATCAGAGAATCGCATAAACTCGGTATTGCGCACTGCCTTGACTTTGTTCATGTGCACATCGATCTATTTTTACTTAAAAAACATCAGAGAATCGCATAAACTCGGTATTGCGCACTGCCTTGACTTTGTTCATGTGCACATCGATCTATTTTTACTTAAAAAACATCAGAGAATCGCATAAACTCGGTATTGCGCACTGCCTTGACTTTGTTCATGTGCACATCGATCTATTTTTACTTAAAAAACATCAGAGAATCGCATAAACTCGGTATTGCGCACTGCCTTGACTTTGTTCATGTGCACATCGATCTATTTTTACTAAAAAAAATCAGGAGAATGATGACGTCACATAAGGTTAAAAAAAAAGGTTACTCATCGCCAAAACTGAACAAAATTTGCTGCCAATCAAAGAAGCGCCAAATTCTACACTAGAGCCTAAATTTATGCAAAATAATATTTTGTCTTCAAGACAACTATTCCTTAATTCAAATAATATGTGTATGGCTACTTTAATTAAATTAAATTTAATTTAGGGGATTCTTTATGAACCGCTTTTTGGTGCATTTATGACAGTCAAAGTCTTGGCAGAGTCTCTTTAATAACCGCAGGTCACAAATACCCATATTGCAATGTAACTTTATAAATTCCGGTACAAATTTTAAGATTCTACAGAGATTTTTGGCTAGGCCTAGATGCTCCACCAACTGAATACAAGTGCTGATTAGCCATATAACGGGCGATACAGTTACTTAGCTGGAGGCTAGTAAGTAAAGTATGTGGAACTCCATAGTTGACATGTTGGTATCATTATTCTCCTAAACTGATGAAACTTTCTGCCACTGGAACACGTGCAAATTTTTCAAGTCCTGTATCTCTGAAACGTTGGCATCCTAGCTAACAATTTTAATGTCTGTCCGATTGCCTACTTTGCGCATAAAGATAGCTATCACGTTCATAGATGACATACTCGCTCTTGAACGCTTGCGATGGGTGACCAAAACACGTGGGAACTATGATTCAGTATATGGGACATTTTGCTTAAAAATGCAATTGAACCCTGCAGATCCCATAATAACAAATTTCTTATCCGATTTTTTGCAACGCTAGAAAACGTTTTGCAAAAGTTTCAAGAATTTATATACTTTAGTAATCATAAATCGCCTTGATATATACCAAACTTAAAACTTGTAGAGCTTTATGTCTTTGTAAGCAGTTATATTATTTTCGCTTTTACTGTTAATTTCATTGGTTTCTGTTTGGATGTAAATTAATTAAAAAATTAAGTATAAAGGTCTTGATTTAAGACAACTTTTGGCAGCCATTGCCGTCAGTCTTGGAACTGTTTTCGTCTAGTTTCCTAATCACTTGAATCGGCTTTAGCCTTGCTAGACAAAAGTGCTCGAGTAAACTGAGGGCCTGAGTTAAAATTTGCAGGTGTGCTTTGTCTTGTAAATCTCGTACTTTAAATATTTACATTTCAAATTTAAACTTTATTTTTTAAAAAATTTATTATTATTACTATTATTCCCACGAGTTGAGGAGATTAATTTTGTTGTTATACAGGTTCTGTACCATAAGGCTGCCAAACGAATGTTAGCTTAAAAGGGCTATTAGTCTCAAAACGACATTTTGCGTTGATTCAGTTATCACTTTTTAAATTGTTGCCACGAAATAGTATCTCTCTGTATTATATTTAAAGAAATCAAATAATGAAGAATCTGTATGAATGTGTGCATGTTTCTCGCATAGTGAAAAAAAAGATACCTAAATTCTGAATAACATAGTCCTCCACGCGGACATTGACACCTGGAAAACCGAATTTTTGAATTTATTTTACTATCTATTTCATATTTTGCAAAATGTTAACGAATTTTTATTAACAAACTCGGCCATTTCAAAGCGAGCATTTGCAATACTGCATTTGTATGTCCAGGGCGCGACACTGTCTGTCGGAACTTTCAAAGATATGTTGTTTTTAAATATTTTGTGAATCGAATTTTATGTGGTGTAAGCAGGAAAACGTGATATTTAATAAATAAAGTACACATACAAAACGTTAATAATAATAAAAGGTTTTTTTTTTTCCTTAAGTTAAAAAAAGGTTTTGCCTATCTTAATCAGAAAACTGAACATGGATATGATAAACTGAGAAAAGACTTTAAAAAAAAAAAGTATGCCAACACTTAATGCCGCATCAGAAATTCTAAACGTATCCTGCTATACTGCTTTTAAAACAGCGGACTGTTAGAATGCGAGCTTAGCTAGAGCGTAAAAAAAAACTTAACAAATCCCTTTCGGCGATCGTTAAAATCTGAAACCTTTCAGATACTTCGCCTGGCTGTATTCGTGGATCCTAAGATAAACATTTAAAGAGTTAGACTCGATACAAGCTAGCGCAAATTAAAGAAACGAAAAATAAATTGAAACACATACAATTTAATGTACACTTTTTTAATAAAAGACAGTTAGACACACGTAAAGTACAATACATACAAACTCGAGTAGGCCGACAAAAAAACAATTTTGTACAATACTTCGAACTGCACAGCCCACGTCGACAAGCTTTGACATAAAACTTACTTGATCTGTACATCTATAATAAGCAAGCGTAGCATTACACAGCTTTCTATGCACAGATAGCTTTAAATATTATTATCTCTCTATATACAAACATCTTTCACATAAATCCGGTCTCACTTGCATTTGAAGAATGTATTTTTTTTTTATTTGAAGTAGGCATAGGTGCTTGCAGACAGACGACAGTTAAAATACCATTGATGTTATATGAAGCACTTATTAAACTTTAATAAGGAATCCATGATCACATGGTTTTAAATTAGAGCAAGGTGACATTTCTGTGTAATCGTCCTAGAAAATAACACGTTTTAAGATGTAAAAATAAAAAGTTTCTTGCCAGTTAAAAAGTCTAGTTTAGTAAGCCAGCTAAACAAATTTGAATAAAATAAAATATCCCACTGTCTGTCTGACTGCACCTATGACGGGCATAGCGCAAGAGCTCCGAAAACATGAGGAATACTTATGCTAGACAATCGTATTTCTTTGAATCACTTTTTAAGCAGAATTCAGAAAGAAACACAATAAATAAATAATATAATAATCAAGACTAAGCAAGCTGAAAAATATACAGGAATTGGGAGTGCGTTATGGAGAAAAATTAAGACAAGGTCCAAGTTTCTAGAACTATGGGTTATTCAAATAAAAAGTTATGTTTCCGAGAATTAACAAGAAAATAGATACCGGGGTACGTATAATAAAACATTCAACTACGTAGAAGAGTACGAAGCGTTGTTGCAGTCTTAAAATTTGTTAGGAACGGTATAATTAATACCTCAGATTTGCAACAAAATCTCACGCTTGCAATCATATGATTTGAAGACAATGAATTAACAACTAAGGCATTGACTAATTCACCGCTAAAAGCTATTTAGAGCTTCTTTTTTCGGATGACGGGTGTTGTGGGGGGGGGGTCTCTTCCAATAGGAGCTGTCGAGTGTGAACGCTGCTTTCTGGAATATTTACAACAGAAAAATACACACACGTCCAGCTGTTTTAGAGTTTGCTTTTAACACAGTTTCTATCACAATAGCGGCGCACAGGCACACATCGTCGTCTGCTATCGCACGGAAATCGTTTCGATGCCCAGCACTTGACGTATGCTGTTGTCCAGCCTCACTAGATCTGTCGTGCTGCCGTTGTCCACCAGCCTGTCGGTGTTTGGACGTGACATCAACGGGTTGTCTAACTTCGTCCCTGTCAGCAGGGGACTGCACGTGGCACTAGCTTCGAATTCGTGCCTCGGGAGAGCCAGAATCTCAATGTGACCATAAAGCTGGAGAAACTCCTCCTTGGTGATGGAAAGTTTGCGCAGAACGTCATTCAGACGAAGGTAGTTACATTGCCTGAAATTGAAAGACACAAAAGTAAGCATCTTGTTAAAGAATCATACAAAATTCATTACTTAATTTGCTTTTAATACAAAAATTCTCAAAGGGGCATAACTATTCGCAAAATTTTTGACCAGATGTCCATTTTTTTAAGACATCGATAAAAAAGCAATCGTTGCGGCACAGTATTTACAGTACATTCCGGCTTATCGCGTGCACCTATAATTTCAAACAGCATTTTTCAACTTTTAGGTATACAGGGTGTGATTCAAAAGTTTCAAGAGTAGAACTAGAAATTTATTGGACATTTAAGTACAGCGGACTCAAATTCTTCAAAATATGATACTTCAGCATCAACACAGCGCTGCTAGTGCGTCTTCCACTGTTCATAGCCCTTCTGGAAGGCCTCGGGCGTCATGCTGTCAAGGGCTCTCGTCGAAGCCTGCTGGATGGCGTCGATGGAGTCAAATCGTTTCCCTTTTAGGCCTGTCTTGAAGAGGAAAAAGTCCCTTGGAGCTAAGTCGGGGCTGTAGGGCGGCTGAGGCAGTGTTGTCACATTGGACTTGACCAAACCTTCGGCGGCGGGGGCGTTGTCGTGGTGGAGAGTCCGATCGCCCTTGATCGCCGGCAGGACCCGATCCCTCAAGCGGCGGAGCACTCCAGCATAAAAGTCACCTGTGACAGTCTGTCCACGAGCAACAAACTCCTTGTCAATCACTCCTTTACCATTTAAAAAAAAAAAAAAAAAAAAAAAAAATTCAGCATTTCCATCGACACTATCCAGCAGGCTTCGACGAGAGCCCTTGTCAGCATGACGCCCGAGGCCTTCCAGAAGGTCTATGAATAGTGGAAGACACGCTGGCAGCACTGTGTTGATGCTGAAGGATCATATTTTGAAGAACTTTAGTCCGCTGTACTTAAATGTCCAATAAATTTCTAGTTCTGAGGTAAGTCTTGAAACTTTTGAATCACATCCTGTATTCACCTTACAACGCGCATCCTTTTTTACATCATTTAGGTACATGCACCCCCTGGGGTCAACATACCGAACTCTGGAAAGCTACTGGCTAGGAGCTTATGAACCTGGCGGTTCTGGAGGCCCAGGAAAGGTCATTATTGCCCGGCCCCTGGGTTTAGCAAGTCCTAGAGCTGAGGGCTCTAGTAGCTCGGGTACGCTGGGTAATGTCCCTCTGTAGCAAATCATAGTCAACGACCAGTTCCGCAAAAGCGATGCGTCTATGCCGATACTTAGCTAGGTACATGTAGAAATCTAATTTTTGTATGCTAATATTTTCCTTATTTTTTAATCTATCATTTTTAAATCCGGCCTATAACGCACACTCGTAAATTTTGATCTTATTTGTTGCACTAAAAATGTGCAATATTCGCTGGAATATACAGCAAACAGAGAAAGCAATGTATTTAAATAGGCTAAGGACATTTAAATTTGCTAATTTTAGCATTAATTTATTATATAAACTCTCCTGGAACATATTTTTAATACTAATCACTTCCGTGCCCCGTAGCGTGCTTACGAATTTGCCGTCGATCGTTTCCGACAGTGCAAGTTATTAACAATAATGGATAAAAGTGACGTCCAGTGGCGTAGCTAGGGTGGGGCAAGGGGGGACATCTGTCCCCGGGCGCAGCATTCAGGGGGCGCCAAATTGATGTTACTAACTTTTAGAATGAAATTTTTCCGTTCTTGGCACAGAGAAAGGGGCGCAAAATCTTCAGTTGTCCCCGGGCGCTGAAAACCCTAGGTACGCCTTTGGTGACGTCACATCGCATTCATGTGAACTTCGCTTTGGCGCAGTTTTGGAGGGATTCCCGCCAACTTTCACGATTGACAGTAAAATACTAAGTGCATTAAACTATATTTCAAAGTAGAAATACTAGATTTCATAATTTACAATGAAGCAGGCAGGTCATGACAAAAGTCTTCAAAAATACATCATATTTATTAATTTTTAGGGTGATTTGATACTCATTTTTTTTTTTTTTTTTCCAAAAACGTAAGATGTTTCTCGCAATTTTTTAGAGTCTATCATATGTAAAAAATAGGTGAAAAACATGCATATTTTTGTTAAAAAAAACTTCACATAACATAGGATCATTCAAATTTTTGACAAAGTGGTCGATAAGGTCATTTTAACTCTATCTTATGTAACAGAAATAGACCTCCTCCACCTATTCGAACCCCTGCCAAAGTGCAAATCGAAATGGAATCATCAGCCTACTTACGCCTTACTGTTGGCAGCAGGCAACAGAAGTCTGAAAGTTGGAAGGTGGGGGGAGTCGCTCACCTCGAACAGGAAGTCGTTGTCGCCCTCCCCCTCACTCTGAGGATCGGACGGAACGCCATCAAACACATCGTAGCCACTATCGTCTGGATCTGAAATAGATACGACAACATCCATTTAAAAACCAACTCCATGGCAAGTCTGGATTTTGAAGCATGACTACAGCAAGAAGCAAGACGGAATTCAAACTTACCCAAACATCTGGCAGAGCCCCAGAATCTCCACGGTAGGTGAGGTCTACTATCGGCCTCCCCACTTATGTCAGCCAGAAATCCTTCAATAAATAAAAAATATCACGTGAGCATATTTATTTGCAGTACAGTGTCAGGAATCTTGTTCCTACCAATGATTCAACTTTTAAGTTCGACGATACCGATAATCAAACTTACCTTGCAAGAATTCAGCCATCATAGGCGAACGGGCTAGTTTTATAGGCTCCAGACCTGAATAGGTAGCTATGGTTGGATCAGCCCCATATGAGAGAAGGAGGCGAACAATTTCTACATGGTCATTTTCCACAGCATCATGCAAAGGCCTAGGAAAAAATGATATATGTCCATTATCTGATATCTAAGAGGAAAGTCTTGCTTAACTTCCTTAAATTACTCTTTGGATCATCACTGACAAACATTTCGGAGCTCCTCAACAATGAATGAAATAAAAATATTTTAGATGATATGTATATACGTAATTATTTTACCCAGATCGATATACAGTGATATTAATTAAACAAAAATTAATTCCTATCTTATTAAAATTATTCAGAATAGAAATTCCGAAGTCTTCATTTGACTATTTAAATACATTTCTGTTGTCATATGTTGTAAACATTACCAACAGATGGCAAATCTGATGATGTCATTACAACAAAGTCAGCAAAAATCGTTTAAGATACAATGATGACTTTTCAACTAGATATTTTTACTTCTTTGAAATGTAAGTAAATAACTGCATGTTAGACGATCGGCCGCTTAGCGTAATTTAACTAAATATTGTTACTAACACGATGACAGGAGTCGTGGGCGGATGGGATTGGTCTAACCGGCGAGGAAAACGCGGCACTTAAGGAATTTTCCGGATTCCCAATAGCCCCATCCGCATTTGACCAGTGCAGGATGCGAATTTTTTAAATGCACGTTGATACCGCAACCATGGGAGGGGCTTCTGAAATGGACCAATGGTTGAGACAGCAATGTGCAGTTAGGAAATTTACGTGACGGGCGAAGATCACCAATCACTTGCAGAGGTGTATGCAGACAGCAGAGTTCGCTGACTGTAGATTTTCATCCTTCCTCTCTGTTATACAGTAATTGCAGATTCTACTTTGCAATAAAAGTCACGTCATCAAAAAGAAGTTGGTAACTCTTTATTCCTCAACTATTTAAATTTTTTCAACTTGTTTAGCATATTATTTCGAAAAGTAATATAGCTCGTTTTTAACAAAAAGGCGATTAGTTAACAACTGCCATTTTTATTGTGAAATAATGAAAGGTAAACGGTTAATCAGCCGACTTTATGTTTAAAGAAAAACACTTTTAACTATTGCTATTTAAAAAAAAAATCTGCTCACCTAATGCCACCAGCAGCGCTTGCGTTAACATCTGCTCCGTATTGCAGTAGTGCCCGTGCTATGTCCAGATGCCCTCGAGAGCAGCATTCATGAAGAGGCGTGTAACCAGCATTATCACGTGCATTAACGCTGACACATTTGGTCTTCAGGCAGTACGCAACAGATTCCTGCAAAGAATGAAATGCACTCCAGTAAATCGCATGACTAGTGTAAAGGTAAGTGATATTTCTGCACTTATTTGGTTAATCTTACACAAATCCAGCAGTTACAAATATTCAGGAAATAACCGAAAACAAATGGTATTTACGTATTAATGCAACCACCTTGGCACAATTTCGCAATTTTTTTTTTCCCCCCCACAGATGAAAAGGTAAAAGTTACCTACCTATCCATTGTAAGTTGGTGGTGTTTGCGCCTTTTTTTCTTAGCGAGATTCCCAATCTACCGATATTTATCATAAGTCGGTAAACATCACCAACATATGAAAAGGAAACACACTTTGGCAATTTAAAACCTAAATTTGAATCATTAAATGAGGATTACGGGATACATTAAAAAAGTAAAAAACAACGTTCTTCTTCCAAATCTTTCTGTATTTTTTTTAAAATTTAATTAATTTATTTTTTGACACTATTCTTCTCCCGAAGTACACAGCGATCCATTTTCGCATTAAAAAAATCAGAGAATTGCGGAAACTCGTCAACAGCGGCTATCTAGGAAACGCATTTTCACCTCGTCCCGTTTAGAAAATCTTTGTTTCCTTTTCTATAGTGTTGCAGAAATTTTACCGCAGTTTCTTCCACTGGTAGCAAGTTTCACAAGATCATATTTTAAAATTAAGGGAAAAATATCACGATTTATTTATAAAATAAGTTTGATCTCGGAACAGAAAAAAAAAAAAAAAAGCATACGAAAATGGTGGCATTGCTTGACCTTGAGGACTGTTATGAGCATGGTTACCAGAGTTTGGCCCATTCTGAAAATTTGGCAACTTCTACTCGTGCGATTGCGTTAATACATAAGTACTAAACAAATTAATTAAACGTAACACATCCTCCGATGGCTGATTTACACAAAAGAGGGGAAAAGGCGTAGAATGTTTTTTATATCCTTTCGATAAAGTAGAATATTACGCTTTATTTTTTTTACGCACGGGATAAAATAACACTTTGAAAAAATATAAAAATGAACACCCATGAAAATGAGATAGATGATTGCTATGAGCGACACTTAACAGTTGTTACTCCAACTCCATATCGTTATGGAAATGATTTCCATTGTTCCTTTTTTCTTCTATTCCCCTGGTTAAAACCGTATCGCGAGGAAACGCAAACCGGCTAAACGGGACGGCGGAATGGACAATCACGACCATGGTAAGGACAAAAACACCTGTCCTATCAAGCATCTAAAATCTTTAGAACACAACACTGCTTTCAGAGGAATAAAAGAACCGCACGTGACACTGTAAAAAAATATAAAAAAATCTTTCTCTTGCACCTCCTCTCTTTCATTACTTTAAAAAAAATCTATATCGACCTGCAGCTCGACTGTCAAACGCGAGCGTAATATACTGGGGGAAAAAAAAAAATTCTATTGTTCGTAGAATAGGGAGAAGGGAAAGAACAATGATTAGAAAGGGTAGAAAATATATGAGAAGGAGGGGAAGAGGGCAAAGTGAAATGAAGTGAAAAATTAAGTGGCGGCGATGTATCCAAAGTCATTAATGTACCTGTCATAAGAATTATGTTGTCACTGCCCATTAAAAGATTTTTATCTGTTATCCAATTGAAATATAACCAATTATATTCTCTCCCTCGTTTCTGCATGCTTTCAGAGTGTAACGGTAACACACTCGGCGCATATTCGAGAGGTCCAGGTTCGATTCCCGGCGAGGGCATTGCTCATTTTTTACGTCAACCGCATCAAAAACAACCTAATGACTCTACAATGGCACCAGAACTGGAAGGTGCTGGATGATGATTCTTCACCACCAGGATTTGGCGAATGGGTCCCCTAATTCCCAGTCGCCCTCTAAAAAGGGGGTATTTTCTCTTTCTTTTCTGCATGCCTTCGTGGTGTAACAGTAAGCGCACTCGGCGCGTATTCGAGAGGTCCAGGTTCCCGTCCCGGCGATGTCATTTTTCACATCTCCCTTTCAAAAATAACTTAATGACTGTACACAGTACAAGTTAAGTGATTACCCTTCTAAAAAAAAAAGTTTTTTTTTGCAGGTAGAATATTCTCTAATAAAACACGCCCTTGATCTAGATAGAATGCAATCGAGTATGGTACAATGTAAACATAGCACAGAACCCGAAGAAGTTATCTTCTGTTATAATGCAACAAATGCCATGCCTTAAATTACATTTACTAAAATCTAATCTGGATCTAATATGAATTATATTTATGAATATTTCTAATTTGTTTTTCAGGGTTTGTTGAATTTACTTTTAAAGACATTTATATATTTAAACTAAAGTCAATACAAACACTTCGCATTTTATGTTAGTATGTAGATTAGGAATAGAAAAAAAGTTAACAAGGTAACAGAAAGAATGAATGAATGAATGCGAATGCTTACAGGATAGCCTAATCTTGCAGCCCGATGCAGCGTGGTTTCTCCTAGAGCTTTGTTGCCCATTAAACGTTTCATCTCGGGAGTTATGGCGAGGGAACATGGCGAATCATTTGTCTGCAAAAGCAAACCAGTTCGTAAGTTTTTGAAATATTATTAAATATATTATAAGACTTATTAAGAAATAAACTTGAGCTAGTTATAGGTATTTGCAAATGAACTCGTTTCCGTACACAGAGTTCAAATATTCTGAAGGAAAATACTACTGATAAATATGAATCATGAGTTAACAAATATTATTTGAAATCAATTAATAACACACTGTTGAAATGTTATAAAATGGATGCAATCACACAGTGATACTTTTAGAAATTTGAATGTTTGAAGTTTTTAAATACCTTGGTTGAAGATTCGTGCATTTTAGAGTCTTTCAACTTCCCGTCACTGTCACGTTTGATCTTGTACACTACTTTGCCATTCCTTTTCTTTTTCCTGAGTTTCAAGACACCATTTGAGTTCTTCCTCTTCATCGAATGCCATTTGTGCAGGTAACGTCTGTGAGCCCATCGAAGGGTTAGTTGGGATAGAAGTTTTCGTGTGTACCTTACGGCTAACTGCTTCTCGATGGCGCTGGGGTCTGGCGCTACATGGCCAGTCAAAAGCGGCCGTCTCTGCTGGTAGATGCGGGCCAGCAATTTCTTTCGAAGTTTCCTCTTAGCTCTGATGGCACTCAGTCTGTCTGCCGTATGCAACGTCGACTGCTCGCATGTGGTTTTTGGAATGCACCGGAGTTCTGACGACTTTGAAGATGACTTAGCTGAAATAAGATGTACCGCAATTAGCATCAGATATACATTGTGCTGAGGAACAAATACAGTACAACTCCAATTATCCGAATCGCTTTCAGAATTTAAGAAAAAGGTTAAGACGGAACGGCAGTGCTGGACAATCAACGATTTCAGACATTAAAAGGAGCAAATCTACACTTTTAAACTTTGTTGCACTGCTTGAAAACGAAACTGGAAGTTCAAGAAATTCAATGCAGCAACAAACAAAATTTTAGAAGATGTCATTTTCAAGGGTTTTTGCAGCAACATTCTATGGGAAACCCAATTTTAGGTCCGATTCTTTGTGAAAAAGCTACGATCTTAGCTCAGTAGCTTGATTGTTCATCCTTAAAACTCTTTGAAGACCATGACGCCCCAGACGGCCTTTCATTCAAACCAACCCATCCGCCCAAAACGGCCGAAATTCCGATGTTGTTTTCTTCCCTCCCCTAAGGTATGCAGTAGCAGGTGCAGTATTCCAAATGCATTGTGTCAGTTTATTGCAGATAGCTTGTCCTAAAAGGATTTATTTGTGGTTTCTTATCTTTATTTGTTTGGAAACAGACAGGATGACATTTGAAATCGTCACTCTTCTTTGTGCGTTAATGGATGGGGAGGGGCGGAAATTACCGTGACTCTCGAAAACCTTTTTTGGCGATTCGGTATTTTATGCGTACAGGTTAGCGAAAACTTTGGTTTTCAAAGAGCAAGTAACCGCTGGCTAAGAAATTTAAACTGCAGGCACGGTGTCTTCAGCAAGCAATGACTTGCAGCACCTGTAAGTACTGTACAGTATGCTATATCACATGTATGCAAAAGCGCTGCCTTTTCACTTTCATTAATTAAAACCTTTTTTTCTATTCAACATACCGCACATAGAAACGTACATACAGTAATTAATTAAAATGCACGTAGACCCTCTCATCGGAAAAAATCCAATTATCCGATTTTTTGATTATCTGAATAGAGTCCGCTCCCAATTGATTTGGATAATTGGAGTTCCACTGTAGCTGCATTTAATATTTCTGTTGAACACAGATATATTTCTGTTTATTCTTTGAACTGAAGTTTAAGCATCAAACCAAGCGAAACACACTTACTGGTTATTGCCGACTTCGAAGAGTCCAGAGAAGTATCGTAAGGCTTTTCTAAACACTCTCGTCTGCAATGCTTTTGATTTTCCTCCATTTTGAACTGGAAGAATAACCACATTCAATAAATTTTAATAGTTTTATTCATTACAAAGAACATAACTAGAATTATAGACATCTGGTAAATCGATTTCGCTAGCAATATTTACGCAAAGAATATATGTATACGAAATTCAATTTATAATAACATTCTACAAAACAGCTGTTTAATTAACATCAGGCTTGATAGAAGATAAATGCGAAGATATAATTTAAGATAATTGGATAAATATAAAATGAGAAATTTATCCTTATTTAGCATAGGACTTGCTTGATAAACAAGTAGTTGCCTTATAATCAACTAGCGGAAGTACCTGATGCCAGTTAAGTTAGATTGAAAGTAATGTATCTAACAATAGAGAGAACAATACAGCTGTCATCCTTCTCTAATAATGATGCAAAAAATACGATTGATATTCATACATTTTTCTGTCTGATGCGATATGGATCGATCCCACATAAAAAATTTCGATACAAAAATAAACTAATTCTCTCTCATTATATCAGCAACAACGGCATGAAGTTTTTAATGATTTTTCGTCTTTCTAATTAAATGGGCGTACAAGCTCAAGTTCCATCCAATATTTCACCAACATTCAATCTTGGTCAATTAACTATGGCAAAAGATCGATCCTAATTATAGATTTTGTAAAACATACAAATTTTTTATTAACAAACTCTGCGATTTGAAAGCGAGCAGTAGTAAAACTTTTCGAAATAAAGCATTTTTATTTCCAAAGTGCGAAACTGTTGCCACTCGTAAAAATGTGTGTTTTCAGAGTTTTTAATTTAATATCTCGGCTGATTAAAGTCGTACAAAGATGAGAACAATCGAAATGGTTTCCTACGAATTTTTGGAATCGGGAGTAATGTATTTAAATTTGAGCAGTGCTATTTTTATTTCGTTGTAAAATTTAAGAAATTTTTATTAACATATTTTTCGATTTGAAAGCCAGCAGTGGCAACATATTTCAAATTAAAGCAAATTTTTATCTTTAGTTTGAGAGACTGTTGCCACTCGGAAAAGTGAGATCGAAGGTTAGTGTTTTCAGAGTTTTAAATTAATATCTCTGATTTTAGCTTATTCTATTTTTTTTTTAAATTTTATTATTTTTTTATTTTATTTTATTTATTTATTTATTTTTATTTTTTAAAGTCGGACATCCACCTTTTCCAGACCAGAAAGAACGGTAGCTATAGTGGTGACTGAAATATAGATTAAATGCAACTTAGATTCAAATAAACATAACAGCCATTGTCTTTATAATGAAAGTATAAATTATTTTCAACCAAGAATTTTTATATTGCAGAAAAAGACTGTCCAGCTTATTTCTTTGTATTGTTTTATAAACTTTCATTAATTTTAAAACACGGTACTTGTTTTTACTTGCTTTGATATTTTTTATACTGCTTGAAATTCTTCACAAAACAAAATTCAAAAATAAGAACAATTTTTTTTGTGCCCTGCAAATAAAAACTAAATAATACAGATGGTATTTAAAGCAAGTGTTTACAAGTACAAATAAGGATATTATTTAAAGAAAAATCAAGTAGCTAATTTCATTAAAAATATTGATACACATATTTTTGTAACTTCCATAAACCATTATAACCACTCTTTCTTAATTAAATAAGGAAAAAAAACCAAAATTTTTTTTTTACCTGATTGCTGAAGTTGAGAGGAGGTTCTGGAATGAAAGTATATGGACATTCTGGTGCTTCTGAAGCTTCATTTGCAAATGGCGTTGTCTGCATAGAGATAAAATAAATAAGATAAATTAAGATAAAATTTGAACAAGCTCAGAATAGATGATAATTAACAATCCTATCAAAAATAGGAATTGCTGCTATTATATCAACTTATTTAGAATATTTGTTACAAAAAAAAGCATTCTAGAGCTATCTGTCGATGAAAGAACGCGGGATATGGAGAAGACTTCCTAGGAAAATGATTCAATTTCTAAAGGAATGTATAGACCATACTTCCTTGTATGGTCTATTAAGTTACACACATTTTCTTTTTGTGCATTTCATTTAAACTTATTTCCTCAAATTTCATTACAGATATATTTGACATTCAATTAATTCAGTTATCACTTTCCGGCAAGGCAAAAATACATAAAATTTCAAACCATCTTCATTAAAAAATTGCAACATATAGGAAAACATAAAACACCAAAATAGTTAAGACAATTAAAAAGAACAATTTTTACAATAAAAATTAGAGTTCCTACGCAAAAATAAGCAAACCTGCCAGCGGGCAAGTAGGCAGATTTTGGCGCACAAAACTGGATGTTCACTTTTGGTCAAACCCGGCAAAAAGACACTGAAGGTGCAGAAACTGGATTCATTATTCTACTCAGTTTCAAATGTAAAACAAATGGTGGTTCGATGGGCTTAACTCGCCACTTTTAAATTGTTGATAATTCTACAAATATTTCATGCAGATTAACTAAAGGCATAAACTTTAACCGAAACATAAAAACCACATAATTTAATCACTTTTAAAGCAAAAAATGCACAATTTACCAAAATATAAAAAGGAAAAAACTCACGGAGCCAGGTAATACAGCGGGAATATATATACACGCACATTTACATACGATTGGCGGTGCCGATTTCAACGAAAAAGAGAGGTGCACAACTACATGTTATAGCAGTCTAATATACAAAATTTCAACGTTATACGGCTACTCGTTCTTGAGTTGTGCCAGGTACGTATAGATGTCAAGGAAAAACCTTTTCTGAATCCATTTTACAATCCTTTATTTTGTCCATACGTGCAGATCTCACACAAAACACATCATTGATATGGTTTCGAGAGCGGTTGAAATGGATATTTTCGTTGAAATATACTACCCGGAATTTTTCGAGATTACAATACTTCCTTAACTTCGTTCAAGAAAGTAAAATTAATAAAATCATCAAAAATAAATTTAGTAATGAGGTATTTTTATAGATGTTATGTTATGCAGCAATTAAAAATATACATGTCTGTAAATAACACATCAGGGGGGGGCCTCTGTTAGCAATTTAACATTTATTTCTCTCCTTTTAAAAGTTTCGGTCTGGTGTCTTCGAAATCAATAAAAAAATAATACGCAAATTTGTCATCGACCCGTCAGCAGGCGCGATGTTTTCAGACGCTTCGAAAAAGCACGGAGCCAAAAACAGCGATGAATGGATTCGTGTGGCAAACGAGCTCAATCCATCTGTATTCGAGCCCACGACTGTTGACGGTAGCAAACGTCGCCCCGAGTGCAGGCGGATGAAAGGCATTTCCTGGCGACTGAGAAACTGGTAGACACGGCTGACTTCCGAAAAGCCTGTAAAAATAAAGGGCGAAAAGGATTGCCGCGGTTGAAAATTACTTCCAGGAGCGAAACGTTCGCTTTTGTTGAATTTCGCTAATTAATTTGTCGCTCAAATTCTGCACGAGTAGTTAGTGATAATAATAAATTGTTCTCTGCTATGGCATGTATAAATTTGTCTTTGCTACTTATTTTATTTTAGAACTAGCGGGCCGCAGCCAAAGCAAAATTCGTAAGTTCTATGCAAATGTATGAAAACGTTTCAATATGAAAGAAATTAGTTCATTCTTTCCAAGCAACAACCCATTCGTAATTGATTTTTTCATTGCCGAATCAGGAAACAAAAACCTCTCACATTCCATGTTAATAAGTATGACGTCATGAATTAAATTTAATGTAATGTAATATAAAACTTACGAATTTTTTACTACCAAATTCTATGAGTTTAAAGCGAGCAGTGGCAACACTTTTCAAAACAAAGCGGATTTTAATCTCCAATGCGCAAGACTGTTGCCACTCGGAAAAATAAGCGCGAAAATGAATGTTTTCCGAGTTTTTAATTAATATCTCGGCGGATTAAAGTCGTACGAAGATGGCAACAGTCGGAATGGCTTCCCACGAATTTTTGGAATCGGGAATAATATATTTAATGTTTGGCAATGCTATTTTTATTTCATATTTTGTAAAACTTATAAATGTTTTATTACCAAACTACGATTCGAAAGCGAGCACTTCTCGAAATAAAGAAAATTTTTATCTCTGGCGTGCGAGACTGTTGCCACTTGAAAAAATGAGGTTGAAAATTAGCGTATTAGTTCTTAAACATAGCTCAAAGAAAGTGGCAATATACAAACTGCCAAAAATTATTATTTAAAAAGGCGGTGAAAAGTTAGTGAAATAAATGTAGAACATACTCTATCAACCGGAATCCATAATTCAGAGTATATCACCGTATTTTAAGGAATAAAAAATTCAACTTCGCGAATTTCAAACGCATTCACAAAGAAATAACCAGTTTCATTGAGATGGATACTTTAAGAAATACACACGAATACATGTTTTCACCAATTTATGCATATCCCGACAGAATGTTGAAACCATCGAAATATGGAAGTTAGTACGACGTTTTACGTTATTTTTGCAAAATGGCTCCTTGGTGAAACAACCTTCTTCGGCATATATAAAGAATTTGCATAAAAAAGGTTTCTCCAGGTTATCGATTGATTCCTTAAATGGATGCTGGTTGAAGGAGGGGTGCACCCTAAGTACTACATTCCTTTTCCTATTTATGCGCGATTAAATTAGGTAATCAGATAAATTTACAAGTATCGAATTAACTTTCGAACTAATAATGTACTTTTTATCACGGAATTAAGGCTAAATTTCTAGTCCAACATTTTTATATTTTCAGTTGCACTTCTGATACCAAACCGCGAAAGGGCCAACTCGTTCATGTGTAACCAGCCAGTTCCCCCTAAAATGTCCTCCACTAAGACACCACTCTTCATGGGCAGATAAAACAATCTTAATCAATTAGCCGTGACTACATTTTCGCGCCAGATGCCATTACCTCAGACATATTTAGCAGCAGCGAATCGGATGTTATTTACAAAATCTGGCTCATCAAATCTGCTAAAAATTTTTCATAGACTTGATATTTTGAATCACAGAATAAAAGGAACAGTAGTTTTATGGGAAGCATACAAAAACTTCTGTACGTGTTTAACAAAAAGTTCCGAAAGCTTTAAAATTTTAAATTATCTACACTGGCAAATAAAATTAAGAGCATGCATATGTATACGTGCGCACGTTTTTGTTTCACGGACGCTGACATAACTTCACCACGTCTCTTTTGAGTAACTCCGAGCGTTGAAAACGACACCCAATAGCGCGAAAAGATCGAAAATTGACCAAAAGCAAAACGAAACAAAAAAGTGCTAGAATTTTATATTCTGCTCCACAGAAAATCTTTTTTTAAATAGGTGAAACTTCGGCCAAGGATTATTATGAACCTTTTTTTTTTTTTTTTTTTTTTTTTTAAATCTCTCTCTCCCACCTTCTCGTACTCCAGCGGGACTCGATTTGGAACGGGGGAGGGGGGAAGAGAACCAAAAGAGAACGGTACACCTCGTGACTGTTAAAAGATTCCACCGAAGCGTTCGGAAACAATTACGAGTGAAGCTTCACCTCCGCGAAAACCCCCGCTCTCGTTATACCCGTTTTGTGATTTTCTTTATGCTTCGGTTCTTTTCACTTTTTTTACTATTATTATTATTTTTTATTTTTCTTTCAGCCGTCATTTATTATTTATTTTATCGCTTCGCTTTTATCTCGGGCGGCGCGCTCTTCGCAACGCCGAAGGGAAGGAAAGCCCGATGAAGGGGACGATTACATATCGCGGTTATAGTTCCGATGATAACACTTCGCCCGCATGCAGATTTGCAGCGATATTCAAATTAGGATCTCGGGTCGATCTAAATCCCATTCGGTGGTCATGCGCGTCCGTGGACGACGTTGCACCTTCCGCAAATCTCAATTTAAGCACGCTGCTGCTGTTCAAATCCAGATTTGTCCTAGTCAGTGAATTCCGTTCTGCCATTTAACCGCAGACATCGTTTATCATTCGAATGTCTTGTCGCTTCAGACCAAACATCACGTGGGGACACCAACACTATTGCCACTTCGCAAACAGTTTATGGAAAATGTTGACGCAGAAGAAATCGATTCGGGTGACTTCTTTGAAACTTCTTTTTAACACACGATTACGTTCTTCCACAACGATCTGATGGGAAGGCAAAAACTAAGACCCTATTTGGAAGTGTGGGCAAATGTTGTAATTTCGAACGAATCTTCGAAACTACACATGTTACAATCTAAATACATTCATTAGACAGATAAAAGAGCACATTTAGCAAACATAAGTACAGGTAGAAGCTAGGCCAGTACCTCCGTAGTACCACAGGTAACTGAGGTATTGCTGAACTTGGGTACCACAGTTTCCTGAACAGTACCTAAGTAGCTCAGAACTACAGGTACTTCAGTTACCTGAACTTGGGTACCACAGGTAACTGAGGTATTGCACAACTTAGCTCACTCAAAGCTCTGTGGGCGACCGCGTGTGAGTTGCAATGCCGCCTGGTACACATTCGGTGTGTTTGCTGTACTTTATTTCGCGAAGCAGCGGTGTCGCGATTGATAAAAATTTCACGAGTGTAGCGGATTCTGTCCCGACAGAATTTACTGTTGAGTAGCGTAAAAGAATACAAGAACTCACGAACAGGCGATATTTGTATGGTTGATGTAATTGTTAATGGACAGTCAAGATTTACTCCAGCATCCGTCCATGTTCATGCGACTGTTAATTCAGGAGATTTGAAACTGTTTTTTTTTTTTTTTTTTTTTAGTACATTGATGAAATATCTTGAGGCTACTTTATTG